TCTGCCCGATCCTTGATTTTGTTTTTCTCCCTAGCATAGCGTTGAAGTACAGCTTCACGACTTGTAGATGAAGACGTTTTATCTTGATTTTTCCCTTTCCCTTCTGGGATAATCGCGTTGTTATCTGGAAGTCTGTTACGTATTTTTCGGTTGAATAGTAGATCTGCCGGTGCAACTCCTGTAGTAACATGTGGTGTTGTGCGGTAATTTAAGAAAAAACGATAAATTCCGGTTCCCAATTCTTTCCTTGCGAATGAGCAATTCTAACTTATTTTCAATAGTCCTCATGAACTGTTCTACGTGTGCATTTGCCTGCGACCAGTATGGTGTAATCTTTCGATGTTTGATTATCCTTTTTGTGCTAAATAGTTGTGGAATTCGCGTCCGTTAAAATCGCTAACAAATTAAATTCATCGCTAACAAATTCAATTGGGAATCCATGAACCGAAAATATTTTCTCAAGTTTTCCAATAGTGACAGCGGTTGTAGTCAATCGAATGATTTCAACCTCAGGAAATCGGGCATGTTTATCCATTAACACCAAAAGATAGTCCCCACTGGGGAATGGTCCACAAACATCCCCATGAATCACTTGCGATGGTTTGAATGGCATTGTGGTCATTTTCAACGGTTCCAATATTTTAGAATTGTTTGCAGCTTGAGAGTGAATACAGGAAGCGATAAGCGTTTCAACCTCGCGATCTATTCCCGGCCACCATACTTTTGTTCGAAGTAAGGTTTTAGTTTACACGATACCCTGGTGTTGCGCATGTGCAATATTTAATGTGTGGCTTCGTAGTTTCTTGGGCATAACAAGTCGGTTTCCTTGTTGTATGATACCGTTATCTGAAACTGTTAGTTCGTTACAAATATGACCAGTTTGATTTCGTGGCCAGCGGTTTTTTCTAATAGCCGTTATAAGAGCTTGCATTTCAAGATCCTTCTGATATGCTTCCTCAATTTCCTGCCTGTTCATCGATTTAGGCACTAGATGGTCGGTTAGAGAATTTACATAATCTTCTGCAATGCTGTTCTTTTCTATTGTTGACAATGGTTTACGGGATAGTAAATCAGTTGGATTGGTTTTACTGGGTCGGTGTCGTAGTTTAAATTGGTATTGTTGTAACCGGAGGGCTCATCGTTCATTCCGCAAAGATGGCTTCGCTTTCGGATGGTATATAACCTCTAACGGTTTATGATCCGTATCCAACTCAAATTCAATTCCAATAAGATACATAATTTCTCACAACCAAAAACAACTCCAAGCGCCTCTTTTTCAGTTTGTGAAAATCGCTGTTCAACCTTGCTGAGACTACGGCTTACATACGCAACAATTCCCTCGTTGCCGTCCCTATCAAACTGTGATAAAATGGCCCCTAATCCGACTGGTCTTGCGTCAACTGTTACTCGAGTTCGTTTAGATCGGTCATAAAAAGCAGTGGTACAATCTTTCGCAATTTCTTCTTTGACCTTGTTGAATGCCTGTTGGTGCCTATCTGTCCATTTCCAAACAACGCATTTGATGGTCAACTCGCGTAATGGTGCTGTGATTGTTGCCAGGTTATTAACAAACCGTTCACAATATGTTACCAATCCCATACACCCTTTTCATAAATGACTCCCGATTAAAAATTATTTTATGTGCATATAAATTGGACTAACTAGCCTCGCTTCTGCGTAGACATTCCTTTGAAATATTAACATGAGTACGAGGCTAGTTGGGCCAATTTATATGCACATAAAAGAATTTTTAATCGGCAGCCATTTATGAAAAGGGTGTGTGGAAAACATATTCTGGCTCTACCATGTTAACTAGTGCTGCAATTTTGGTTTCGTCTGCAGAAATGCCATCCTTTGATAATGTGTAACCATACATAATTACTCCAAAACATAAACAAATTAAATCGAAATAAGACCTTTGTGGGTGTGAAATGTGGTAAAAGATTGTATCTCCTCGTCAAGAAGTAACAGGTGAAACCCAGCTGTCAAACCACTTTCGAAAACATTGTTGCACCAGTCATGTCCTCAAAGAGTTCCTCAATATAAGGGATAACATGACGTTCTCGCTCTATCATTGGGTTCATATGTCGCATGTCTATACATACTCTGACTTCAGCTGGATTATTAGGCTTTGGTGCAACAACAAGATTTGATACAAAAGGTGTAGTTGTCTCTGATGGAACAAATTCAATAATATCACTTTCCTCCAGTTCTTTCAGTTTATCTTCTGTCTGTTTACGGAGATGAAAAGGTATCTTTCGGGGGGTTTTGCACAATAGGATTCGCATTATCTTAAGGTGTAGGTGTACTTCATGACCCTTTGTTTCCCAATGCTATTAAAGACTGCTGGGTATTCCTTTGTCATGATTCGTGAGTCTGGTTGATATTTTTAGGAATTTATGGGTTCTCATTGTCAAACTGTTTATGATCGTCTCAAGGATCGGTGTAGGATGTAGAACTACAATCCTGGTCATAAATATTGGCGCACTTGACACTGACCGTGTGAAATTTGACTCCCTCTTCAATAACCAGGATAGCAACCGCTCCTTCCCCCGTTCAATGTTGTCTGTAGTGTGTTATACGTCCAAGGTGTTACACAACATTGATAAGGGGGATAGGGGGTGTTTGGACATTAAATTGTGCATCAATTGAGCAAGTATTTATATGGTAATCAGAAATAAAGTAAAGGTTATGCTATTAAGCTAAGTGCCCCAAGGATTTTTGACCAGGATTGTAGACTGGGTAACCACAGCATGCACATTCATTTTCACAATATCCAGCTCTGTTGCTGTGGAATAACCTAGTAATGACCCACCATCCCTGTTTACAACATGGAATGTTGTAACAGCCACACTTTGTTTTGACTAAGTCCTTCAAATTTCCAAAGACTGGCAAAGGTTGATATTGCATGTAAGCATACATTTTGTGTGTTGATGGTTGCAAATTTAAACTGGGGTTTTTCTTTTTGATTTCATTAAATGCTTTGGAATCTAAAATGTTTGTTGTTTTCCCAGTGTCAACAATCATCTTAACACGAGCCCTTTCAATAATAACTGGAATGGTTTTCACTGCTCGTGGATTTGGGGAAACCTCATTTTCTACTGGTGGGGTAACAACAAAAACATACGAATCTTCATCAGAGAAATTTGATTGCTTTTCAGTACAATTAATGGCTTGAATGTTCTCCCCTTTTACTGAAATATTGTTCCTTTGACGACTGCGGCACATAGTCGCGAAATAATTTTGTTTTCCACATGCAAAACAAGATTTTCCCTTTGCTCTACACACGCTAAGGTGACCTGCATTATAATTTCCCCCACAATTATAACATAGTTGCTTACCATTCTGTTGCAGCTCATGTAAATTTTCTCGGCCCGCATTCTTGAGTGGGTAAGAATATCGAGGATACTGGGTTGCTGATTGATGTGGCTGTCTGTTCGCTCGTTTATGATACTGACTCGACTTTTCTTGTTGGTTATGTATAGCATTGACCGCACTCGAGGAGGGAGCTAAATAACCACAATCGTCTTCTAATGTTTTGACAGCCTTATCTGTTATTTCAGAACATCTTGCATGTGCTAATATGTTTGCTAATGATAAATCATCCTGAATGGCTTTTCTTCTCACTCGCAATGATAAACATGAACTTTCAACAAGCTGTATTTTAAGCTCATTTTCACTGTTAGAGAATTCACAGATGATGACTTGTTGTCTAAGCCTGGTACAATATCGATAAATTGTTTCCTCAGTTATTTGTTTTAACTGGCGAAACTTAGGGGTTTCAAGGTTAGGGTTTTCTTAGGTAAAATTACTCTTTCATCTTTTCAACCGCTTTCTTGCAATATTTGCCTTCCCCTACCTTAGGCAACGTTGGAAAATAGAGTACGACAACAATAGAGTACGTTTCCAACTATGATCTTTTATATCCATAGCAACCAGAAACCGTTCGTGCCACCGTAACCATTCCTTCCATCGCAAAGATAATGTAGTTGTATTAGAATACGGATCAAAATTTCCCAAAACCTGACAAATTCAATGCAGTCGCCAAATTGGATTATTCCCAAAATGTTATCGATTTTCCGATTCCAATTTCTCAATTTCAAACGTGATAATTAACAATTATTGGATGAGGTTTTTATTTTTATTATTATTATTATTATTATTAATCATCTTCATACAGGTTAACTTGTTCAGCTAATACAATAAAAGCTGTTATCCTACAAGGACCTATATCTATCTACATTATTCAATTATAATATTTTTTATAAAGTTAAAAGAGATCTAGGCTAAAATAGATAAAAAACTACTGACTAAGAAGAGTTTACTTAAAAAACGTCCAGTTTATAAAGATTTTAATTTTCCTTTAAATCTAACGATTGATTTTTCAGTTTTCTTTTCTTTAGGTAGCTCATTAAATAGTTTGCATCCTTGGAACTTAAAGGTCTTTCTGCCTGCATCAGTTTTAATTCATGGGACAATGAGGGAGCAACCATCTCCTTGAGTGTTTTTCCCATGATTGACAAATGTGAAGAAGTCATGGAACACGGGAGGAGAGGTTCTTTGAATCGCTTTATGAACATCCAAAAGAGTTTTTTGGTTGACTATTTCCGAGATTGATTTCCACTCAACATCAGTCTGTTTCGAAAGCACAATCCCCCACCTATCCTGGACTGATTGAAGTTTTTCTTTCAAATGTGTTGGCAAACCAATATACACTGCCGGACAACATGTAATAATTGCTTGGATCATATTTAAATAGACTCGCTCAGCTGCATAGGTGGTTAAACTGTGCCTTACTCGTTTGAGTAACTTTAATCTTGTAGAGGTTTTGTGATACACAGTACGAACTTGTTCGTGGAGAGTAAGATGGTGGTCAAGTAGGACACTCAAATACTTGTATTGCGTTGTTTGATTAAAATGTTCACCGTTGATCTTGACGTTGATAGGAGAGGAAGATTCTTAGCCAGTCTTTTGGCGGTCCCAAACAGGAGAAATACAGTTTTTTCCTTTCATTAAATTTAGTGTTAGATAATTTTCCGACATCCATTTTGCTATCTTATTGACTTCTTCATTTAGGATAGTTTCCAATTGGGAAATGTTCCTATAGCTAAAATATACCACTGTATCATCGGCATAGAGTAGAATTTTACATTCAGTTACTTCAATATGAACGTCGGTTATAGGTAAAGCAAACAGCAGTGGTCCTAGAGTGGAGTCCTGCGGGACTCCGTGAGTAAAGGTTTTTCTATCTGAGAGCGTTCCTTTGAAACTTGCAACTTGGGCTCGTGCAAACAGGTAACTTATAAGCCGTTTCCTTTCTGTATCTTTAATACCATAGACTGGTAGTTTTTCCAGAAGACGACCATGATTTACCATGTCAAAAGCTTTACGCAGATCCATAAAGACTAACCCAGTCAATTGACCCTGATTCATACCAGTTCTTACATCATCTATCAAGATCGTAATAGCATGCTTTGTTGATCTATTCTGACGGAAACCATAAGAAGATCATGTTCCTCCAAATACCATGAGATTCGATAATATACGAGTTTCTCCAAAACCTTCCAAAACACCGGCAGTGTGGATATTGCTCGGTAGTTATCAAGCAGAGTTTTCTCGCCAGATATGCGGAATTATCAAGGTCGAGGTAAGCTTTATCAGCTGATCCCAAAGCGTGGCTGATAACGCTTACCGAGACCTTGATAATTTGGCATATCGCAAAAATCGAATTCAATAATTGTTTATTATACATTTGAAAAATAATTATTAAATTAATTTTATTAAAATACTATGTTTATTATTCTTCAAATCTATAATAAAACAATTATTGAATTCGGTTTTTGCGATATGCAAAATTGGCAAGGTCTTGGTAAGCGTTATATTCAATATGATTTCTGGCAGAGCTGTTCAAACACGTTCCAGAGCTAAGTGCGATATTCTATTTAGCAATATTGTGGACAAAATCTTTTTATTACGAGATTTTAGCCACAAATTTAGATTTCGTTTGGACATTTGTGCCCAATTAATTCCACTTTTTCTAAAGAAGATTCTTTCTCAGGAGAATTACGTTAATCCGTACATAATTTTGCTTTGTTCTTCTTAATCTACGTTTGTCAAAACTCTTCATTATTGCCATAAAATGACAAACAATTATTCCAATAAAAACTGTTCCGACGTATTTGTTATAATATTTAAAATTGGCATAATTTTGAAAAATAACACTTGCTAAATTATACAAAAATTAAGTAAACTTCATTCAGACAACAAAATGTTGCTTAATTTATTAATATAGCAAATATTTTCCATACAGAAAAATACACGTAGATTATTTACACTATTATACAAGAATTAGCAACAAAATGTTTTTAATTTCAAAACAAGTCCATGTAACCATTGCAAAAGCAACAATATTGACAAGTCAAAAAGTCCCTGGAACACAAATATGTAAAACACATAACAAACGACATGAACGCATCCATGTGAAGTTAAAAAGTCACTGGATAACTGCAAATATACATGTATGGCATGGACGCACAGTGCCAAGTTAAAAAAGTCATTGGAACACAAATATACCATGTCATGGACACGTCCACGCCAAGTTAAAAAAGTAATTGGAACATAAAAATACCATGGCATGGACACGTCCACGCCAAGTTAAAAAGTAATTGGAACATAAATTTCCAATGGCATGGATGTGCCATGCCAATTTTAAAAGATTATTGGAACATAAATATACTATGGCATGGACGCTTCCACGCCACTGTATATTTATGTTCCAATTACTTTCTTAACTTGGCGTGGACTCTTCCATGCAATTGTTGGCATGGACGCGTCCACACCAAGTTAACAAAGTCATTCGAACACAAATATAGAATGACATGGAACGTCCACGCCAAGTTAAAGAAGTAATTGGAACATAAATTTCCAATGGCATTGACAAATCCATGCCATTGTATACTTATGTTCCAAAAATGTTAAAAAAGTCATTCGAACACAAATATACAATGGCATGGACACTTCCACGCCAAGTCAAAAAGTAATTGGAATATAAATATACCATGGCATGGCATGGCACGTCCACGCCAAGTTAAAAAAGTAATTGGAACATAAATTTCCAATGACATGGATGCGCCATGCCAATTTTAAAAGATTATTGGAACATAAATATACTATGGCATGGACGCTTCCACGCCACTGTATATTTATGTTCCAATTACTTTCTTAACTTGGCGTGGACTCTTCCATGCAATTGTTGGCATGGACGCGTCCACACCAAGTTAACAAAGTCATTCGAACACAAATATAGAATGACATGGAACGTCCACGCCAAGTTAAAGAAGTAATTGGAACATAAATTTCCAATGGCATTGACAAATCCATGCCATTGTATACTTATGTTCCAAAAATGTTAAAAAAGTCATTCGAACACAAATATACAATGGCATGGACACTTCCACGCCAAGTCAAAAAGTAATTGGAATATAAATATACCATGGCATGGCATGGCACGTCCACGCCAAGTTAAAAAAGTAATTGGAACATAAATTTCCAATGACATGGATGCGCCATGCCAATTTTAAAAGATTATTGGAACATAAATATACTATGGCATGGACGCTTCCACGCCACTGTATATTTATGTTCCAATTACTTTCTTAACTTGGCGTGGACTCTTCCATGCAATTGTTGGCATGGACGCGTCCACACCAAGTTAACAAAGTCATTCGAACACAAATGTAGATGGCAATTGTCAAGTGGAAATTTATATACATTTATTAGACTAATTAACCACAAACAGAAGCAAAAAGTGCAACTTTAGGTCTCTGGCAAGAATTGAACTTGCAGTCTTTCGATTCCGGTGCATTGCTCTGATAATGTTCTAGCCACAAGTTCATGAATGTATATACTAGGGTGCTGCCAGACATAGGTTAAGGGTAAATATAAAGATTTTGTGGCATCTGACTTAAATGAATAATATTTTAATGATGGGTATTGTAGATGGAAATTGCCAAGTGGAAATTTATATACAGTACATTTGTTCCTAACGACCTTAGTAACCAGGAAAAGAAGCAAAAAATGCAACTTTAAGTCCCTGCCCTGGCAGGAATTGAACCCGCAGGCCTGCGACTCCGATTCAGTGCTCTGGACTAAAGAGGTCATTTGTCGAGCTCTAACCACAAGTTTATGAATGTGTATACAAGGGTACTGGCATATATAGGATATGGGTAAATGTAGCAAAGTTCCTGACCCAGGAATTAAACCTGTGACCCTACGATTCCAGTGCACTTCTCTGACCAACTGAGTTACAGAGGCCAGTTGTCAAGCCACACGTTCATGTATGTATATATTAGGATACTGCCATGTATATAAATAATTTTGTAGCATCTCACTTGAATGAATAATATTCAATGAGTATTGTATAT